ATATTATACAGAAATAAATTCGTACGTTTCGGTTGTCTTTTTCAACCTTCCTCAGCGCATCGATTAAAAATTAAAAGATTCGTAGAAATGAACAATAAATTATTCATCGCTGTCATTATAATAAAAATATACGGAGTCAAATTATATGCTAACACCCGAGATTACCGCATTTACAAAGCAAGAGAATTTTTTTAGTATATATTCTATATATACTAATTTAAATATTCTACAAGCCGGATGTGAATGCGATGGAGAGACGAAAAGGCTAATGCCTTTGAGTACGCGTAAAACGAAATAAACGCGGCATTATCGCGCAGCGGGGACTCAATTGATCAATTAGATAATTGAGCCCGGAACAAAGTGCCTGCAGCGTCGAGGATCGTTGCGTAAAAGTGCAACGCTGAAACACACACGATTGTGCATTTGCACGATGACCACTTCAGGGTCACCCCCTGTCCGTTAAAGAGTCTGACGCGGTCCCACGCGGGTTCGTCATGCGCGATCGACGATTAAAAGGATCGCCGTCATTCTCGGTCCTTGTCTGGCCCGGGTATAATTCAGCTGGCCAATTCGATAGCCTCGTCGCCGTCATTTTCGAGTACGGGTCGTCCCGGGCGCAGTTCGCGAGAGTGGCTTGAAGAGGATTAGCCCGTCCGTCGGTTCGATTTCATCGGATCTCTCCTCTCCTCACGACTGGAGCCCTAGATGTCATCGGCAGGAAGGTTGGAACATCGAAGATTGGACAGGGAAACGATGAGGGGATGTCGCAGTTCACTCTTGTTATCGTGCCACATTCATTATTTGCGTCCTATATGTTTGCGAGAATAAATATATGTGTGAAGGTTTCGAGTCTGTTATAATTTTACGCGCACGGAGCTTTCGTAATCTTTGACGAAAATTTCGAACGATATTATGGAAAACATATTTTGCATTAGAAATTTCACGTACTTAATTGCATTTAATCTTTCTGTCAAAGTTTTTGAATGCAATTTGCGAAACACCGACAACGTCACAATATGACAACGGTGTTATCCTCGAACATATACATATTTCCTCGGCTTTATTCCTTTCATTCCATATTCGAGTTTCGCGGAATAAGACGCGCGCCTCCCTTCGGGTTCAACTTCACCCGAGAATAAATCGTCTGCGGGCGGCTCGGCTGCGCGCTGTCTTCCCAATTATAAAAGCTATTATGAATTTGCCGGGCAATTTGGCGGCTTTGAAAACGTGCCGCGCGTACGCGATACCTCGTATAGTATCGAAATACCGGGAGGCTTTACTGCGGGGTTCTGCGAGAGAGTGGTGACTTTTCCTCCTCCGGCAATTGCGAATAAGCCGGCAAAAATAAGACACGCGCGTGTAAAGCACGCGAGAGCGAGGACTTAACTCTTAAGAGAGCAACGACGTATCTTTCCCGGGAACGGCGAGAATATTTGTTTTCGAAGTCTCGCTTATCCGACATCCGATAGCTCTTGACACCGACACGTCGCGTAAAGGATTACTGGCGCCTCCGCTTGGGCACCGTCTGCTTCGAATCGTCGTCCATTTTTCTCGTCGATCCCGAGTGTAGAAGTCTTCCGAGAGGCTGGTTGCGCACCTGCTAAAGGCCACCGTAAATATTTTCTGCAAAAATTATGCTACTTTTCACGTTTACGATAATATACGAATATATTTGAGAAATATATTTAAAAAATTGATTAAACCAATAATTATTTATATAATATAATAGAGAGAAACAATCATATAAAAAGAAACTAATATACGTTTTAGTAATCTATGTTATTTTGAGAAATAAATTTTGCGGTATATTAACATTTTACGCGATCTAAATTTTAATCTCACCATCAGATAAACTTTATTGACGGTAGATTAAGGAATCGTGCAGTTCAATTGACGATTAATACCTTTTAAAGCTGGCATGATGTGCGAGACTAAGCCTCTTAATTCTTTACCCTTTTATGTTACGAGGCGTAATTGATACTTCCCTCTTTTTTCGCTTACGTCCCGAACGTTTGAGTATTTATCCACTTAATTGTTCGCGGAGCGGGCTTCGGGTCTGTATTCTAATCGTTCTGACCCGAGAGCCCGTCGAGCGATCAATAAAATGTGCGGTGTACGAAATTGACCTCAGAGCGTAGCGCTGCTGTAAAGCTTATCCCTTTCATATTTCAGAGTTTCTAAGCGAATTTCGCCGTGGCAGAAATTGTGCTCGCGTCGTACATTATGCGTCGAACCCCGTGATTTCGCAATTCCCCAAGTCTTTCTCTCTCTCTCTCTCTCTGTCTCTTTCACGCACCCACCCGCACGCATCCAAAATTCCGGGAGCACGCGATTGTTAAACCTACCTACGCTTGGCATCCGGTCCGTAAAGTTCCGCCAACGTGGCCAACGTCAGGGATGGATTTACCTTCGCCAGTCGACGCAGTTACCTACTAGTAGCCTGCGGCTACAACAAACCCCCCGCTTTATCTCGGCGACAACCGCTGGAATATATCGTCACGGTTGAACCCACCGCCCAAATTTCCCTCCTAATCGTAACGACTGATCACAAACAATTACCGCAGCGTTGAGAGGCAACATACAGTCATACAGTTGATATACCAAACCCTCACTTACCATAAACGAGATATGGGATGCGCAATGAAAACAATGATTTGATTTAATTTAATATTCTGAAGATACATCTGCGATGAGAATATGTAGATATAAATATTTATATAATTAAATGTGGATCTTTTATATAAATAATATTTAGTCGGAACATTTTGATTTAGATGCGACAAACATTATAACGCCGGCTCCGTTTGAAGCCAGTAATCTTGTATGCCGATTTTTTTATCTTCTTCAATGAATGGTAATACATGCGCGTCCCTGAACAAAGGTGCGCATAAGTTGGGTAAGTGGTAGGTGAGCGCCTAATCGAGGTCCAAATTAGGGCGGGCGATAACCGCGGCGCCAGTGCGGAACACGACACGGCACAAAGAAACTCCTTCGTGTTCACCCCTTGCGTAGGACTCGACCGTAATTTCGGATGTGATTCAGCAATATTTTCGGGGTCGGGACATATTTGCCATCGCAACACTTACGCGGCAACGCCTTGATAGATGGGAAACAATAATGGCAATGGTTGGAGACTTTCACCGGAAGCGCATTAGCGATCCCACCTTTCGCTACCCTTATTCAGGTAAAGGTACTCCATCATGACTTATTCTTTTTCTCGCAACAACAATTATTTTCAAGTAATCACTTATCCGGGGTTTTTTAATATGTCCTGTTTCATGAGACCTCGTTACTACTACATATATTTATTGTTAGTCTGTAAAAAGGAAAATTTATTTATGTAATAGCAAAGTAGGATATAAAATATTTTGAATTTAACGAAAAATTATAAATTTTGTTAAGTATTCAATTAAGAATGCAGTGCTTATATTTTTTAAATATGTTTATAATTACAATGTGTTTTAATTTTTATTATTTACTATTATTTTGTCATATAAAAATTTATATCACATGTTTATATATATATACTTTTTTTCTTGTAAGTGAATATAAGCGATTACAAGTTTTTTAATTTGATTGACTCAAATTACTCAAAAGAATGAAAATAATAGGATATGTAAAACGATCCGACGAATAGTCTTATAAAATGGTATTAAGAAATGATATAAACTATAGACGAAGAAATACATCAGTAAAGTGGTGCTTTTATGCGTCTAAGCTTTAAAACGCGCGACTGGCTAGACAAAATACGAATTCACTGAAAAGAGAGTGTATACATAAAGAGAAAAGAGAAGAAGAAGAAGAGAGGCACGAGCCTCTTTCTTGATTTTACATTACGTTTTCTCGAAAGAAAATGGTTGAACGAGTGAGGGAAAGAAGCGAGAGAGGTTGGAGGATGAAGCGTAAAGCAGCATGTCGAGGGCAAATTAAAGAGAAGCTCGCGAAAAAAAAGGGAGAAAGAGGGAAGGCTGTGGAATGGAAGGGACAGAGCGCCTCACCCTCGAGTCATTAAAAACGCGGTCGTCGTTCTGGCCATTAGAATGACAAATGACATCGTTGACGGTGCCAAATTAGTACGATGAAAGAACGACAGACACTGCAAAAGCCCAGCATGACGTAACTTGTACGTGGATACGTCAGATAGTTTGTAAAATCTCTAGAACGAAGATTTACCGTCCGCATATATTTGCATGTAATCGCTATTAAAAGGCAGTCATTACTTACATAAACTTTAATTTGATATCCTCGACTAAATTTTATTACTATTAATATTGAAGTAAGATAAGACTGATGTTAATCAATTTACAATTTAATTAAACTGTCAAAAAAAATAGAAGCTGAATTTTTTACATGAATTATTAATTTGCTGATGTATAGTAATTTTTAACATAAAATTTATCTTCTTATATATAATTATATTAAAAGAAAATTGATAAAAGTTAAATTAATTTATATTTGCTAGAACAAGAATTGATCGGTAAGAGAAATAATATATAGCACTTTGAAATACATCGATTTTTTTTTATCAATTAAGTATGCATATTTTCAGAATATTTGATAAAAACATAAATCAATTTACTGAATAGTTAATCAACAGATCCCAGTTGGCTTCAAGCATCCAATGTTTCGTACTTTCCATGTGTATTCATTCATTAAGATTAAAGAGTATTTATAGAATCTCTAGAGATTCTCAATTAAACATAGCCATTGGATTATTCCGCAATTACCTGGATAATTGGCTCTCGACGAATCCGCTGCAGTCTGAAAATTCTGTATTGCATTTATATATCGATAACGCAATGTATAGAAATTAAAATTATTATTAAAATTATTATCATCGCAAGTTAACATATGACAGGTATGCCATTTTTTTCGAAGAAGCAACACAAATGGAATTGTAGAAATCATATTAAAAAAAAAACAGATATTCTATGAAATAAGATAAAAAAAATATAAGCTGATTATGTCACAAGGTAGTGAAAAAAATATCAGTAAAATCATTTTCGCTTCGCTAAAAGTTTTATTTCATTCGTCGACCAGTCTGATGTATTTGTGTGTATGACTCTGTGTATGCATATGCTTGTGTGTATGTTTTTGCGTTTGTGTTCTGTATGCGTTTACATTACACCTCGATACTCGTAGTTGCCTACGTCGCAATTAATACAATATATAATAATATGTATAGTTTTGTTTTTATCTATCTCGATAGCATACAAAAGGATACAGGCACACAAATATCAAATATGCATCCGGTACTCGTTATGCTATTGATCAATATAATTACACTCACAATGTGTGATACCTCCATTCGCTCTCTCCCTTTCTCTCTTTCTTTCTCATTCACTCTCTCTCTCTTATTCTCGTCGGTTTTACGCTGTATAATACAGATATATACAAATGGTCGCACTTCCGCGCTCTTCATCGCGGGTGTATTTATAATACGTTTACACATAATGTATATATAAATTACAGACGCTATATACATCGAGAGATTATGCGGCGCGTTAATATCTTTCGGGATGATGGAAAGTTTCCTATTATCGCTCGTGCTAAATCTATATTGATAAACCATCGTCGTTGTCGTCTCGTCGTACCTGCTCACCGCGTTTTCTTCGACTTTCTACGTACAAGTACACGTAAAGCCCAGCATGTAAGCAAGACATTGCACGCGATCGATCTTACGTACAACGGTTTCCGCTCTCGTCGAGTCTCTCGCGCGGAAATCATGAACGAATCTATCATATTGTACAATCGCAATTCGTACAAAAGTCAAATTGCATTTTTATATAAATATAAATCGCGATATAAAAAATAACGCGTCCTAATCATCTTGTGCGTTCAACAAATTTAGTCCTCATCGTTATCATATGTACAATTCGAGAAAATCATTATTATATTAATTAACATCAATTTACGTATCATAAAAAATTACTCGCCGTCCGTTTAATCGAGGAGAATCGCGTAGATAAATTCCCGTACGGGTTTTTTTTTTTTTCCCGGTTGTAATCGATATTACTAACTGCGATGCACCCGCGAACGCGAATAATGCAGTTCCACAAGGTCAATCGATCAAGCGACCTCAGAGTTCGGTCTTTCTTTTTTTTTTTTTTTTTATTACGACTCCCTCGTAGAATCGCGCGTATGTACGCATACGCATTTACGTGTCGTCGTATAAAAGATGGGCCAGTTTCCCCCTTTTCTGTGTCTGTTCTGCTCCCCTCCGCGTCCAACCGGAGCTTCTTCCTGCATTTCTCATGTCAGATAGAAAAAGGGTTGCATGCGTGATTTATGCCCGGGACTTTTCCCCCGGTTTTGCACCGGCTGCTATTTCTCCGCACACGTTGCATACGTACCGATGCAGAACCGATCGTGTCGTATCTCGGTTATATCGGTAGACCAAGCCCGCGTATCGTTGTATCGTTTACGAGATATGGCGGCCGGAAGAAAACTTACGACCTGGAGCGAGAAGAGAGAGAGAGAGAGAGTTGTGGGCAAGAAACTCGTATGATGTTCCAAGACAGTTTCATCTTGTTCCGATATTGCGAAATAAGAATTAGGACGCGCTTCGAGATTATTAACGTTTCTCGCTGCCGAGAGAGAATAATTCAAAATTACGACTACGTCCAATCTGATTCCTCGAGGAGGTAGATAATGGCATCCGGTTCTGTTCGAACTAGTTCTTGTTAACGGTTCGGCCATTCGCGCAGCTACTAGATGCCATTATTTACGTCTTCAAGGGGTCTTTGTACGTCGGAGGTATATATTCGCGAACGCTCTCGGACGATCTGCACGCATTGTCTGCCGCAGTCGCTATATTCTCACCGTTTACAGTTGCTTTAGATCGGAGTACGGAGAGAAGCGTCGGAGTGCTGGAAAGGAGAAATTTATTTTTATCGTGGAATTTCTAATTTCTTTAAAAAGGAGGAAACTGACGAGAGATTAATTTCGAGTGTGTGCGACACAGCGATGTACGCGTGAAATAAAAAATTGAAAAAATATATATAAAACGATAATGAGAAGATGTAAACAGACACGTGGCGAGGAAATTTATTCGGATATGATTTCGAAGAACGATCGCGTCACAACAGGGGAATATTAATTGGCGCAGTTGGCGCAGTTTGCGGTTTCGCGGTATAAAAGGAGACATGTATAAAATATCGCATTACAAAGTACGACGTGAGCAGGTACGAGATCCTCTTCCTTCGTAATCTTTATCGTTCTTCCCTTTTGGTCGGGCAGGAAGGAGAGAATGTCCCTTAACTCGCGCGCGCAAGTTTTCTCTTCTCTCTCTCTCTCTCTCTTTCTTTTTTTTTTTTTAGTATAAACTAACTTTCCGCTATATCTCGCTATCCTTCTCTCGCTCTTACGGATTTAACTCACTTCTGACATGTGTCGCGCGCACGTGCACGCTCACGCTCGCTTGAGACAAATTGACGATTATTGCCAGGAGCGGGACTGTCAACGGCCTGAAAGTGCGGGAAGTTCATGGTATAGAGGTACTCGAATTTTCCGCGTCGTGGTAACGTTAGCGAATCGATCACCGGTGCCGCTGAGCGAGAAAATGATCGAGAAACGTCGACCAAGAGGAAACTCGTGCCGATCGTCTTTCGACGTTAAAAGCGGCGAAGATCGAGCTCTCGCGAATCGTGAAGGCGATGATTTTTGCCGTCAGTCCGTAGCTCTGTAACGATAACCGCTTGTACGTGATATCTCCCGTCCCTTAAAAAACGACGATTATTATTGCGACGAAATTTTTATTTGCTCGGTGCCTCCCAACTTAAGGCGCTTGAAGAAAGTGTGTATTTATATATATATATATATATGTGTGTGTACATGTGTGTGTCTGTGTACGAGGTCCCTAACGGTTAATATTTACACTCGAAAAGCGTTCAAAGCTGTCACTCTTAATTTTTGTCCTTTATAATTTTAACATCCTACAGTGGCGACGATATCGATTAAACACTAAATATAACATAGCAATGTTCCAATCGTTGTAGATGCTATACGCGTCGCTCCTGCCGCGAAAAGGGCGCGACCTGCGCTGCGGAACGCTCGATTAAATTTCTCCTCGACGAGAGCCAGACTGTCTCGCGCTTAATCGAAAAACCGATACCGCGCGCGAACACAGAGCGCTCGTGTGCAGTTATCCGGATAAAAATAGCGGAATGTCAATCAGCATCGCGCTCGATCCCGGGATACGCGGCGCGATTTGCGAGAGACGCACGTTGCCGAAGAGATTGCTGCCGGGTCCGATGAAATGTGAGAGAAAAATTGAGCGTAATAGATTATACGATCCGTAATCAAGGAAAGTGCAGCGGTCAATAAACGAACCAAATAATCGTACGGTGGAGGGGAAAAGCATTATTTAAACGGCTCGCGGTATAAAAGCGCCGTACGAGTCTTAAATTTCGTGCCACGTTCCACGTCAGATATTTAAACCGGTAATAAATTTTGCACTGTACGTACATATATATATATATATATATATATATATACATGCACACAGGTGCATCGGCGTTCGTCGACCTAGGAGAAGGGAGTCGCTGCACTTTACGGCTGCTCTTTCAGGGCGAAATTCAAGGGAGAGTTCCGCCGCGCAAGACATGCTTAAGCATATAACGTGCCTACATATATAAACATATATAATATGTATAATATTTATATATGTGTATATGTGTGTTATTCGCGAGAGCCGGGCTCTTTTTTCTTTTTTTTTTTTTTTTTCATATATCACAATGTGGTCGAGGGTCTCTCATCTTCGCGCACCCGATATCTCGAGTTTCTTTTATACGTTTTTCCTCAGTTACGTACACATGTAGTTATTGTTGTCTCATCCCTGTATTGTCGATTCCTTAAGCTGGTAAATTCTCGATTTTCCTCGTTGCATGAAGGCGATGTCGGTAGAGATAGAGAAATAAAGTTGGGCTTATACAATCTATATTATATGTGAAAAATTCGTCGTCGTACGAGATAATATGTATATTTTACCTTTCTGTATATATATATCTATATATATATATATTCACTTTTTTCGTATGTATATATATGTATATATAAATTAAAGATTCGTCACGCGGGATGACGCTGTAAAGCGACAATAAATAATACGACGTGCGCGCGCGTCAAAGAATACTGAATTATTTATGTGAGGCGGGATCGAAGCTCGCTACCGTTCGCTCTTTTCAAATATCGTCACGTCGATCTTTCGTGTCGCGCTGCTTTTTTCCCTTCGATGTCAAGCGTCCCCACTCTCCCGTTGACGTTTCATTCGAGAACGCGCGAATAATTGAAACGCCCGCTTATTCCATCAAGCTGATAATTAATTATCTCTTCGAGCCGACGTAACGATCGCGCCATCGGATAAATATCTCATCTGTGACCCGGTCGCTTTTTTTATCTCTCTTCCCCACTGATAGTTGCCGCCAGGTTTCACCTCTGGATCGATAGCGAGCTCGATCCTTGTTGCACATGCGCGCCGAACAGACCGAATCATTAACGCGACTCTTCCTGAAAATTCGTCCGAACGTGTGTTGACATGTGTGTATGTATGTGTGTGTGTGTGTATATATATATGTTCTTCGTATAGCGATTACGCATCGTTTGCGTCTGTGCCATCTTTGAAAGATTGACGGACGGAAGTGGCATTTCGCAACGTTACACCTCGTTCGCGAGATCCCACTTCGGGTGGAAGAAGAGGAAACTTGGCAGTGAGTGCTGAAAAGATGCTGAGACTTGACTTTCGAGACGCGAGTGAAAAACCGAAAATACATCACGCGGTTTCTCGCGACGATTTTCGTTTCGGAAATTTTGCGGGACGAATCTCGGGAAGAGTCATATATATGCATACGACGAGGTCGCTTTTATCATTGAACTGATATGCCGAATTTAATTATTAAGTCGATACAGGAAGTAGATCGCGAGTCTCCCTAGAAAAGACCTCGAGGTCGCACGATATAGTATGTCCGAAAATTCGTCGATGGCAGTGTTTGTCAAGAAGGAGTTTTCTTTCGCGATGAAGGAGCGACCGCGCCGCGATCGCGTCGTTCTTTCTCTCTCTCGCAATGAGCTATAAATCCGGAGGAAAAAATATCGTCGTTGTAACAAGCAGGATTACGACCCCGTTTCGCCGCGCGGTCGCTCATAGCGTTTATACTCCGAACTGTACAACGCGTTACTTTTACCACCGGTCTTTACCCTCGAGAATTAACAACGCGCGTGTTCTCACGATATCCTCAAAGCACTGGATCTATTTTACACTCTGCTCCGTGTTTGCGTTCCTTCTCTCCGACGCGCTTAAAAATGGTGAGAAACACAGATGGAATAAAGTACGCGGAGCAGAACATAAATTTACCAAATTTGAGATCCTCGTGAATATAGAAATTAATTTCGGAAAAATCTTCTCACGCAAGAAAAGCGTATCGTCAATTTTGATATCTATTAATAATTATTCACACGCATATACGAGATAATTAATATTAAAAAGTAAGACAAGAATGTATAACATTAATCATAAGCGTATTTTTTATCGGTGCGATAATAATATAATAAATTAAGAATATATTATAAATTGTAGACGCACTAGCATATGTGTATGAAAAAAAATTAATAAATGATATTCGTTGGCCTCGCAAGAAAATAAAACAGAAATCTTTATTGGATCAGTGCCAGAGGATTCATTCGATCACGCGATTTCGCTGCTCGCGGTAACGAAGAATCCATCATACCTTCGATTTCCATTCGCATTGAATATTCCGCATTCCTTACGCGTATCTGTGCAAGGAGTGCTCTCGGCGTTTACTACCTCTGCGCTCACGCTCGCAAACTGGTTCCGGACTCGGTGGATTCGAGTACGTCAAATTGCTGGAGCCTCGAAGGGGTGGTACACTCATAGGGGGCGGGGGCGGCGGAAAAAAGCTCTGCAAGCACGCCTAATGCATCGGAAAAGTACATGAAAACGTTGAAGCCTTCGTGTGTTCGTCGTTTCGTATAATTTGAGATAAAACTATTTTTGACTCAAAAGCAAACAAAATGTTCTCATTTACGCAATATTTAATTAAATTTTTTAATAATTATGTGGAGGATAATATAAATGTTATTTATATTTTTTTAGCAAAAATTTAAAAATTGAATTTAATTTTGAGGGAAGAGAGTCAAGCACGGATGTCAGTGCATCAGTTTGAAGAAGGAATTAATTTTTCGTTCAAATTGATTCATTGTGCACAGAAAATTAAATTTTTTTTTGGTACGATACCAAATAATCAATAAATTTCTAATTCGAGATTTTATTAAATCTTTCTGTCCTTTCTAAAATTATAAAACTAATGAAGATTTATTAAAGTTAACATGTTAAATTGATATTTATTTAATTTTAGCGGGAAAGAAGGAGTTTAAAATAAAAATCTCGAATTAGAGATTTAACAATTATATTTACGTGATATCTCCTATAAAATTGGTGCTCTGTGCACGAGTCAGTTTTAATTAAAAATTAATTTTTCCTCTGAAACTGATGCACAAAAATCCACACGTTTAGTTTTTACTTGCCTATTAAAAAATATGATTTTTATATCGCGAGAAAGTCTGTCTTAATTATTAAAAAAAATCGAGACAAATATTTGTATATCTTACCTTTGCGCTACCCCTGGAGGAAGATTTCGAAAAAACGCTATCCTGATCACTGCTTACGCTAGGCACGGGCATTGGTACTGCATAATCATAAGTAGCATCTGTACAGCAAGAGACAACAAATTTATTATTTAATACACGATGATATATATTTGTTAAATTTGAGAGTCACGAAAGTTGCGTTCAAAAACTAACCGCGTATGCAAAGAGTTATTAAACAAAGCGTAACGTAATACAATTGGACGATTGTTTGGCTACTTTGAAGCACTACATCGGATACGTTGAAAAAGTTGAAGGGGCTCGACTCACCAGACTGCTCGACATTGTCATGGAGATCCTTGTTGTCTACAACAACCGTGCTGTATCCGTAGTACGCCGTATGAGGAGATGCTCGATACTTGTTCTCGTGGAAGGGTTCCTGGTACTCGTCGAGTCTGACATCGCCCAAAAGACGATCGTTGAGATCTCGCGGTAGGGTCGTGAGCTTCGTACCAGCGTACCGGTCGTCGAGTTCCTCGACCCTGTAGGTCATCAAGGATGGATCCTTCTCCGTGGTGCCGTACGCGGATTCCGGCGACAGATGCTGATGATTGCCCGATGGAATCGCGCTTTTGGCGCCCAGAGGGCTGGCAAAGTTCTTGCGCTGTCTGTGACGCGTGACTATCAGGAACATGGCAACCGCCAGCAGCAGGATTACGACAATCAAGACGCCGACGATCACGGCCATGTAAGTGGGATCGTCCTGCTTAGCTACCGGAACTTCGGCTTGCAGCGGATTGTCGCGGGTGTGAGTTATATCCGACAATCGCGGGGCCATCGTCGTGGATGGTATTTCTGGGGTAAAGTTACCGTGAGCGATGTCTGCAACACGATAGAAACACGTGTTCCTGGATACGGCATGTTTTGGTGCGAACTTTGATGAAATTTGAAAATTCATCGAAAACAAAGTAGTAACAATGTAGTGCATTATACACCTAGCCAGTAACGCGATTTGTGACAACTTTGCAAATTTATATTTTTACGCAGATATGCAGATACTATTAATTGATATCTTTTTGAAATTACACGAGTTAAAGAGAATATTACAAATTTCAATAAACCTTTTCAAAATTATTTTTTATAGGTACATTTCAGTGTATTAATATTTATTGATATATTATATTTGCGCGCTGAATATATTGAAGATATTTAATATTCAATTTGATTGCGTGTCAAAACATGAATTAAGCAGATTCTTTATTACATATTAATTTTTAAGTTTTATAAATCGCCAACTACGCTGGACGACATTTTGAATATTACGATCTTTCGAGAGAAATCATCTCTGATTATATGCGATTTGATAGGCGTGTCGTCGCGATTTCAAACTTTCTCTACTCGCACTGCGAAAGTAAATCGAGGAAAATTACTGAAGCCGTGCGTCACTACTTACCAGAGTCAAAGGTGACTTCGCTGATCATAATCCATCGCGAGGCGAAGCTGAATCTTAGCTTGACGAACTTGCCGATCCGGTGGTGCAGCTTGATCGTGACATTCCTCGAGTGTTCAAAGATCCTGTCCTCTATATAGTTATATACGATCGGATCGCCCGTGTAATACTTGCCGCCGATGCTGAACATGATGCTAACTTCAGAAAATACCTGAATCGTAAACAAAAAAAAGAAGCGATACGAAATGAATATCTCGAATGAATATTCTCCCGATAAGCATTTCGCTACGCGCATGTACGCTATTCCATCTAGACTATCGAGCTTGATTACCGCAGACAATTCGATCTATCAGATAAAGCGCCATGTATTTAGAGTTACCATGCGGAATTAATTCGATCGGAAGCATACCACAGGTACTCGATTACACTCGCGTAATCAGTATTATCGCCGTTATTACCATAGGTAACAGATAACTAGTTACCCGGCGCGCTGGGATGTGACATCGACGGTTTCGATAATACGAAGTATATCTCATGGACGCGTTCCGAGAACGAGCGAGGACGCGTGGAATGCTAATTTCATCCCTCGAAGGCGCAAGACAATTCAGCTAAGGGAATCTCCGAGTCGAGAGCCGTGTGAAGCGGATGGAGAGTCAGAGAGAGAGAGAGAGAGTATGGAACTAAGCTAGCGTAGGAGTTAGGCACGATGATTACAAAGCCGAGATTATCTAACTCCCTTAGATCCAAAGACGGGAAGCGTATAGATTTTCGACGTACTGAAGCCTACCGCCCGCGGATGCGCCGAGAGAATGAGGAAGTCGATGTAGAGGAAGTGGCAGCCGTGAAGCCGTGGAGTTAGAGAGAGACGAAGAAGAGAGGAAGGGGCCTGGCGATGCTTTGAGGCGCTGTCTTTCGTGGAAGACGTGTCCTATCCGCGCGAGCGCGCCCTTGTTAATAGGAGAGGTCGTTTAGGGGTAGCTTCTGCCACTCCGCAGCCCCATTCGCCGAACTGCCGACTTGCCAGACTGTCGGTATTGTATTTGAATACGTGGCGTATCTGTTCTCTCGGTCGTTGCTTGCTGCCATTGTATAGTATACACGGGTAGAGAGGGAAAGAGAGCGTCGGGTCTGTCTCCCTCTCTTTTGGCCCCTATTCCGTGAATCCCTGCTGATCTCTCTCCTCGCGAATCACTGCGGCTGCATCTTCAGCCTTGACTGCTACTCGTTCTGTTGGTTCTCCAGTTCGGCTCGATCGCAGCTACACAATCGGCCCCGAGCTGGGTAATGAGACGGTCTATTCAGATAAATCTTGATACCGGTAAGAGAGTGTTTCGCGGCCCATTATACCGGGATTCCCGCGCGGAATAACGACGGAGCACGAAATTTTCGCGTCCAACTGTGTTTCGTATGTATTAAGTTTCGTAACTTTCGCTCATGGCATGGATTATGTGACTATGTATATTGACACCGTGCATATTAACTCTCTTCATCTGCACGAGTTTCTGCACGATGACGAATACACGAAGAGTAATTTAATCGAACTGTCAAAGTTTGTAATTATCTATTTTTTAATAAATCAAAATTATTTTTTCCGTGGAAAAAATTATATCCGATGATTCTCGAGTGTCAAATGTTCTTTTTCAAACTGAAAAATAATTATTTCAATATACTTTTAAGTTTGTACGCTTGATCCGATTTTTCCTCAAATAAAATATTGATAGTCTAATTTGTAATTAGATGATTAGATTTTAAACTAGATATTTTTTCTTTTTGCACATTCAATGTTTAATTGATTTATCATCAAGGAATTTACTATCAAGTGGTATAATTTACTGAGCGATTCAATTGCCTGAGCTTTCTGACAAAACAATTTTCCGCTACGATTCGCAAATTATTTACAATTTGCTCATTCAGTTTTGATTAGAGTCCTTTCTTGAAATATCACGCTTCGCTATTCCAAGCTCCTCTAAGTGCCGAATTATTTTATTAAAATAGGTACATCTCACTGCCATTAGAGCCGAGTGTTCAGCGAGCCATTATGTAAACACTCAGGCGTAAAAAGATCGTAGGGGCGAAAAATTTTCACGGAAAAACTGACGTCTCCGGCAAAGCCACGGCCACCGCGCAGCCGCTCCAAGTGAAACGCGGATCCGCGGAGCCGCGTTTCCTTTTTCTCCTTCCGTCCGTTTCAGCCGAACCCAGGGGCTAACCGTTGTTGCGCCTCGTTACCCATCCTACGTCCGACCTTGACTCCAACGTGAAAACTGGATTTCGTGCCGTATACATCGTCTCTTCAACCTCACGGCTTCTTTTTTTCTTTTCCTTTTTTTCCCTTATTCTCTGGGTGTGGATTAAAGGCTGGCGAAGGATCTTCGCGCACATTTTGCCGCGACTGTCCGTCTTTCCTTTTTGCGCCTTTTTCTTGCGTCCTCCGCCAACCGCCTACTTTATTCAGCAGCCGTTTCGTTCTCACCGGCAAGTCACTGCCGCGGGCCATTCCAATTTCCTCCATATACGCATATCCATTTATAGTTTTTCTTGCTTATTATCGTGCAAATACGTACGAGAAGAAACGGTCGCCATGGTTATCTTATAGTCCAACTTTATAATAAGATATATGATAAATGAGCGCACGTAGCTAATGACATGATAGCGGCAGACATCTCGAGAATTTCGAGATCGACCATAAATCAATCACAATCATAAATCAGTCTCGCAGTTCGTGTTTTTTCTAATACTTGAAAATTTTTGTGTGAAAAAGATATATACGCAAGTTAATAATAAAAAAGAAATGAGATATATTTCTACGAAAATATAAGTATAAGCATCTTTGTGGTCCGACTCACACGCGCACCTCGCAGATTTATAAATGAAATCTCTTCTATGCGTAACAAAGCGTGCAACGTTAAACGAATCTTACCTGCACATCTTTGGTGAACTGGTTGTTGCAGTAGATGTGAACAGCCGAGAACTCTCTGACGTGGTCGAATTCGAATTTAATCTCGAGCGGATGTCCGGATCTTGTGTCGTTCTTCCAGCCTACCCATCCTTGATTTCTATCATAGGTGTCGTAGTAACTCATCTTAAAGTAGTCCGGTCCGATCTTGCCGTCTGTCAATTGCCCCAAACCACGGAGTAGCTGTCCGTCCCAATAACCATCGTAAGTCGTGTCGAAGAATTCCCGGTTGTTGCGCTTGTCACCTTGAGGCATCGAATACGAGACAATGCCGTCGTTCCAAGGACAACCGTACAATTCAACGCGCATGCAAACTGTGCGACGATGATAACTGTAGGGTAGAAAACGAACTTTGCTGGCCCATACCGGTGGCTCCAAATCCTTCTTCGATTCCAGATAAGTGTTCCTGTTCCCTTCGATAACCTGAAATAAAATATAGAAATTGCCTTTTAGTATATCATCCTAATATCTTTCGACAAAATATTTCGTATCTCATTTGAATTCCCTCTCTGATATATGTTGAAGCATCTGAGAGTTAAAAGACGTACAAATTGTATGCAAACGACATATATATAGATATGTATATCAGATTGTGATTGGCAGAACGGAATATATAATACGATATGTTTAAATGATAGTATTCATGCTACGCGTCATGCTAAGTTATCGGTGAATAGATGGATTATTCGCGGTATTCTCCGATGAAGATCAGCGTCCGTGTATAGCATCTTGACCCTTGCCTCATTTACGGACATTCAGGCGGCGAGATAGCGAGATATTTTTCACTAGCCCGTAATATAAATTGCGCCACGACGCACCGTAGCATTTCTGCGCAGCGTGATTTCAGGCTCGCCGCGCTCTCTCTCTCTCTCTCTCTCTCGCATAGAACAAGGCTCGTTCTATTCGATCGGTCGAGCGCGCGAGAGCGATGGTCGAATACGTATATCGCCGGATAGGATCGGGCATTTCTCGGACGACGTCGAGGGAGAGAAGAGGCCCTTTGAAACAAAGGACCTCTTATTTTCCACTTATGATCTCGCCAGCGCCTCCTGACTCGCTCGCGCGAGAGATTCTCACGTATGGTCGGTTACGTGACCGTGTAACCATCACCGTTGTGATCCCGACAGGTGCAAACATTCCTTTATTTTCTATTTCACCCCGTTACAAGCGTGTTCTTTCTTCCCCATTATGGCCGTGCTCGTCGGACGTTGAATAATGTTCCATTATATCTCGATATTAATCAATTTAATATGATCAATTTAATCGATTCTGCGTACAATACGCACCGTGATTGAATTTCATTATAGATTATTCGTTTTGTTGTAGAAAAATGAACAAATATTGAAAGACTCTTTGAAACACCTTTGTGAAACGCAATTACGCGCTCATAAATAAATTATATGCCATATATGACAAGTGAAACGAAAAGTGCTTTTCAATATAATAAAGTGTAAATTTATTTCTATAGTAATATATATAGCAGCTTATATATTTTAATATCATAATTCTGTATACATTATTTAACATGTAAAATTATTGGCATTGTCATTTCTCCTCGTGTATTATCTATTGTAATATCCGGCAATTCGAGTTGCATGTATATTAATTTTTGCAAGACACTCTACCTTTATTTTTTTTTTTTCTATTTACCAGAAGTTACGATTGCGATGGGAAACACGTTTAAAGATGATTCTCGTGACCGCGCGAACCGGCACGTTCCGCGTCGGGTGGCGCGGTAATTGGGGCCGGTAGCTGACACCGTTTTATTTGCACCGCGACACGGTACCTGATGTTTAGCACATTGAAACGGACGGTACCAAGGCGTCGGACGGGCAAATACAATGAACCGACACGTGAGAAATTTTCTGCCAGCATGCGACGGAACCGCATCGTGGGCGTTTCCGGAGGTTGACAGTTACGTGTATAGCTTTGCAAAGTGTATACGTAACAGCATCCTGTCTCTCCTCGATGATTGTACTTGGAGTAAGATTTATTTTTGTCCGAAAAGGTGAGCAGAGAAATTTCCATTGATTTATAGTACGGGCCTTCAATCTTTGTCTCTTACATATTACGAAAATAATATATATGAAAAATTCAATGCTAAAAAGGGAATCGGGAAAAAAAGGATGTAGTTTTAGAATATATAAATACATATACTTCTAAGCTTTCCTTTACATTGCTTGTATGCGCTAATGCATATTGCAATTTTGTTTTTACGATTTATCTGTTACGTTTTTCATTCGCATTCAAAAAGATTTCATTCATGGATAAAATATTTCGACACTCGGTTGGTGAAAAAAAAAAAAAAAATACTATACATTGTATCGCGCTTATAAATACGTATGCTTATGTTATATCCCAAGTTTCGTTCACTCGTGACGCGACGCGACCGGCTGCGCTATCGAATTTTTTTATGAAGATGACTCACACGAAATACGGAGGTCGATTTCGCGTGTGCCTGGGTTCTCGGGAAGGTGCGGCGAATCTTAATTCCCGAAAGACCCGCGGGAGAGGGACCAAATTACGACGGCATTTACGAGCCGTTGAGACGTGTACGGCAGGAAAAATAAGTAATCCTGATATTTATCTTCGCGCCCACGCATATATATATACGCGGTCTGCTTTTATCGCGAAAGACTTTTCTCAAGCACCGCCTCGCGCCGAAGCGAACGATCGTCTCTCAAATTATATTCCTCGACCGTTGCCACGATTTCTCTCTCGTCACTCTTTTCGTTGTAGGCGAATTCCAACGAATGTCTCGAAGCGGCGCGAGGACGGGACCAACGCCCATTTTATGTTAATCGTTTCGTGTGTGTTGCTCTTGGATCGGTAGCTCAGTAGCTGAATCGTCTTAGAGGCGGCGTTGATGTTTACGCGTCGTCGCGGAAGGTCTTGGAGGATAAGACACTTTACGGCTTAATTTAAGAGGAAACGCCCCAATGGGTGGTTCAACGCGATTATGCTGATTTATGTATGATAAGTTTTATACTATAATTTGTGTGGGCCTCTGCGCTGGCATCATATAGTGATATCTATTAATATCATATATCATGGCCAGTTATGGTCAGCGATGTTGCCGAGAATATAAAGACAAAAAAATATGCATGTCGTCCACTCTTTTATGAGGAATATTAAAAAGAAAAATTATTTTATTTTACGACATTGATTTTAATAATCGCTGCATTCAAAATCATTGGCCGTAAAATATGGGTGACGACAGGACCACATGGTTTCTACCAACGTTGCCCATATCGAATCGGGTTGTTAAGAAAGATTATGTGTCGGATAAGCCGAGTGTCGTTGTGTAATTAACCGAGGGACAACGCGGAGCTCACAGCGGGAGGAAGAGACACAAATTTCTGCAGGTTTATCCCTACCTCTTCCCTATATTTTCTGGGTGGCCTCTTCCGTTCTAACAGGTATACATGGCGCTACAGACAAATTATACGAGGTATGCGAATATCGTATAATAAATCATATTTTTCGAGTTATTAATCTTTTCTCCGGGATTATCATTCAATTTGCGCATAGCGCAAATTAATAAAAATAATTATCATACATAGTTCTCGACTTTAAAACTTTTTCTTAAAAGTGTAGAAAAAGAATGGCTAAAACAAAATAAATTTTTACAATTATTTTAATATCTGACACTTAGCGTGCCTTAAAATATATTCGCTGCGATTCATTTTGGAGGAGTATGTAGATGAAAATGTCAAAAGTCTCCGCGCGTGTCAGGGAAATAATATAACGTAAAAGCAAATCGCCCCGCAGCTGTATGCAAATGTGGTACTCAAGATCGTTCTTCCTTTCGGGTTCGACCTTCGTTGAATACGTACGCTACCGAAGGATTCGCGTATTCAGACAGGTCTCTATGTAGGTGAGTCGGAATCGTCTAACCCGCGTGCACGCTACGACCTTCCCTTCCTTCATTTTATTGATCCAACCTGCTATACAAATAAGCTCGTAGCACCACCCCGCCCGCTAACTCCGAAGGAAAGTTACCCTGACACGACCGGACGCTCGCGTCTCTCCTTTCTTTCGTCGGTTTCGGAAATCGATGACACTCCTCGGCGCGAGTCGTCCACACTCGACGTGTATTTTCGCTTTTCGTGAGGCAAGGCGCGAGCAGGCATGCATTAAAGAAGCGAGCGACACGACATGAGTGATTTTACGAGACGCACGTTTCCTTCATTTCGGTTGGTTTGCCGAGGATTCGCGAATTGCATACGTCAAATTATCCCGACCCAAGCTTCACCACTTTCGACGAAATTCGCGACCGCGTGGAGTTTATTTTCGCCGGGCGAGTGTAAATTGCCGGTATAGCGTGTGATTATTGCGGGATAGACGTTAATTAAAGACTTAGGGTTCGCGGTTGCCGGCATATCTGTACCTAATATAAATTACATCATGTATCCTCGGACTTTCCAGCGTGGCGTATTACGTTAGAGATTTACGTCTTGTTAACGTCAACCTTTAGTTACTGTGTCTCTGGACACCGCTGCAAATCATTCTCAATAATCTCAGCTCCGTGCTCGGCTTTATGCGCATTTCCTGCGACTAAATTTAACCCCGCGACTTTGTCCGCGCATACGTAATTCCTTCTCGCCGCTTGGATTGCCATATCGAATGAAATTGCCGGGCGAAATGTCTTTCTCTAAAGGTTCGCGACGATTAAATCGATCGTGGCAAATTGCGTGACTGAATATATCTAGGACAGCTAGATCATGTATAATAAATTTCGCAATCTCAGACACGGCACACTTGACAAATCTTTTCATACACACGTTCCAATTTGCTACTTCACAATCTATAAATACGCATACGTCGATTGCGTTTCTATGTCGGAGTTATTCAAGACATCCCTGACCTCGGCTATTCTCGATTGCTATATCGTTTTCAATGATTGGCTCCGATTACGAGCCATTATATACGACGCTATTCATCGATCACGAAGAAAGATTGAAGATAATATGGATATAATATAGTAAGCTTTACCTCCTCGCCGCGAAAGTTTCTGTAGCGGATCCACTTTCCCAACTTCGGTCTCCAGTATTCCAACAGATACGCCTCTGAATACTCGACACCCTGGCCGTTACCGAAGCGACCCTGAGTGCCGGTAGCCGTGATCATGTGCACCGTGTGAAGATCGATTTCGAGCCACTCGCGCGGCTCCGCCGTGATCTGCTGCTTCGGACACCAGGCACCTCCGTGGCTCTCCTGCTTCAGCCTGGAAGAATAAATATTTGCTCTGGGATTACGGATCTTTATTTTCTCTTTCCCGCTTTCTTATCGCGCTACGATCGCCGAGGGGAAAGTAGACCTTCTTTGGGGGAAATCCCTCGTGAAAAGGAAAATAGTCGCCAAACGCTCCGCGTTCTCCGAACTTTCCCGTCTCGCGGATGCTTTTACATTTTATTCATACACTTCTCCTTTTTCGAATTTACATCTGCATGCAAATTCGACAGGTTTTGCCGTATTTTGTTTCGCGATATTCTTCGTTTTTATAGTTTTGCAGCGGGAGCGTGTATAAAGGAAAATGACATTTTGGAATTATGTAAACATTACTGAATACGAAATGAACGGAAAAAAATGTAGTGCGACTTTATAACTTCACATAGCGTGCGAAGGATTCGTGCCTACATCCGACGATAAGAGAATTGTTATCGCGATATACGAATAGCAAAACGCAGAAGTAGAGTTTCTGGCAGCGAGCGGAAACACCGACATTGTTGTTCGTCGTCGGAGGAAATCGTATAAATACGTGATCGGCCGCGTGTCTGACGGATAAGCGTCAGCTCGCCATCGCGCGATACGGGGTGAAATTATAATTTATCGATCGAACCGAGTCCCCGGATGACATGAATTAAAGATGAGCTGGCACCGAGCGACGAAGCCACTTAGAGCCGGCTAATAATTGTATTCACAGATACCTTTCGCGGATTCGTCTGCGGCATTAAAAACTCTCTCCTTCTGTCTGCGCGACCGTGAAATAACGCACGTGTTGCCATGGTAGGGAACGATTCCACGACTCGTAAATTAAGCCAACGAGAGCGAATCTCTGTTTCGGAATCTCTTTTTTTTTTTCAGCTCACCGTAAATTGCTACGCCGCTATATATTCTTGTTACGATAATAGTCCACAAAGTTGCGTTATCTACTTTAAGCGTTTATTAATAAAATTAGATATTTATGTACCGAGGCACGCGACGTGAATATTTTCATCGCGTTTATTAACCGTGAAAAGTTTTTATGAAAGCATCCTCCCGAGAATTCTAGACGGAATCCTCTCTTCGCGAATATCTACGGAAGATATCTTCGCGTGCGAAAAACAGGAACGAAAATTGTTCGCCGAAGAAAAATTTGAGAAAAGAAAAAAAAGAAGGAGAGAGAGAGGAGCGGAACCCAGCCAGATGAATCCGCCCGGCGGAACTCGTGTCGAGCAAAAATGTTCTCGCGCAATAAAGAGGTGAGCCACAGCCTTCTGAAGTGTCAGAACTTTAAGTGTTGCTTTGACGTGAAGGCAGTAAAAACGGTCGACCAGGGCTCGCTACGTGTCTCTAAGAGCACCTTCCGACGTGGTTCGGCGACGTAAGACAGAGAGAGAGGACATTTTGCGAGGAACGTGAGAAGACAGGAAGAAAGAGAGAGAAAAGGAGAAGCACATGTAGAGTAAAAGAAAGCGCGTGACGCGCGGATGGAAACGGTGCAGCTGGATGCTGGAAGGAGCGAGCGAGAGAGGGAAAGTAATAATATTCTACCGCCGCGAAAGATCATAACTCATAGCCCATTAAGAGACCTCGAACTGCCTGGCTGCCACTTTGATACAGTCCGGGGCATCAAAGACATTCCGCGTGCACGGTACTCTTGGTCCGCGATAAATCTCTGAACGGACGATTACGCCGACTTGGACTCTGCGAGCTGCCACGTCGGCGGAATCGGAGCGCGTCCTTAGACGGAGGGACCGATTATCGAGAGGAATGGTTTGTCGGACGAGAAGAATGCGCGTCGCTTCGAGATCGGACTTGGGAACTGTCGGGAGAGAAATGATTCGTTGCTAAGGTGAATAGGATAGCAGTTCTCCGCTGCGTTGTTGAATGATCGAGAAAATTTTTTTGAGAGAGAATAATATTTTTCCACATCCTTTGCATAATCTTTGAGATATTATGTGTAGTAAATGAAAAAAAAAAGTTTAATTTTCAAACAACTTTTAAAATAAATAAAATTATTTAGATTACAAGATTTAAGTTTTATAAAGAGGACCGCTTTTCCGATTACGATATATCCGTGCGGTACATGTATAAAAGTATTTTATGGTAAGCGGATAGGTAAATAGGGTATTCGTCGGGAAGCCCGCAATATCACGAAGCCATGAGAATGCTGTCAAAGAAGTTCTAGTCGACAATGCGGTCTGAAGGAACGATATATATCGGCATTGCCGCGACGAAGGGGATACTTGGCATGATCGATTATTATTACTGACTTTAATGCATCTCTATTTTATCTATTAACCGATGATTATCCCACGACCGAATACATACTCGCGATTAATTTAACGCATTAATTTATTTTGTATATTCCCGCTCCGATGATTGATTAATAGTGACGAGATGTTGATTACACTCCGCGAAATATTGAAAATTCACGCACGGCTCGGTTAATGCGGCAGAATTTCAATTACGGGCAAAAGGGCACCGGTGGAGTTAATGTCTTGCGCGAGTGCGAGTTTATTAGCGCGCTAGGTGGTCCCGATGATTCTCCTTGTGTTTGGACATCCGTCCGTACGCCGCGTTTGTCCCGCCGGAATGGTAATTAGCTGACACGCATAATCAAAGGAGTATGCGACGGGCACGTTAACGACGTCTAAGAGCTTTGGAACGACCGATACAAATGGCTCCGGGCATGCGGGACGCTGCGCGTCATTAATCCTCATTGCGGTTTGAAGGCCGAATTAGACAGAGTTGCAGTTTAGTAGGGCGTGATTAATTGTACGTTGTGACCGGTCGATCGTCTCGGTATCTATCTCGAGGGATGACAGACAAGATGACAGACGCGCGTCGTCCGTGCGGCCTGTCGAATCGCGTTTGCGACTTACACAGATCTATACTTATGGATCATCTATCGCGTTCCACGAAGACGATGGTTCCGCTCGTTCATGTCTTAAATAGCCATGTCGAGAGCCAATTAGAGTTCGAGTAGATAGATCGAGAACTTTTCACGGGTAAGCTTTTAGTCAACGGACAGCACACTCGACAAGTATACTTTTTATCTTTCAAATATTCTGTATCTTCCAGAAAAATATCAGTTTCAAGATTTTTTAAATATTTATATTTGTATAAATAATTTGTAAATGATGTTGCATCACTTGAAAGTTCAAGATCGGTGAATGATCGAATTAAATGGTCAATGAACTGAAATGCCTTTCAAGAAAACACTTGTGATTAAATCGACGAGCTAAATGCGCGAAATGAATTTGAAGACGTAAGTTGCAACTCGATGAGAGACGAACACGTGGCTAGACGATTTTGCCACATTTTAATCGGATGATGCGACACCTATATTGCGGAAAAAAGTATCGACACATCTTGTTTCAATTTTTATTCGCATATACCGAGTTCGAACACCCTGCCGATGCGAGCGCACGCCGCTGCGTTTTTCACGGTCCGTAACCGGAGTTAATATGATCAAATTTCCGGATTTGATATTGCATTGGATTTGTGTGCGATGCGCCTGCATAAACGAATCAGTAATTCACTCACCGTGCGCGATGCGGCCCGACGTTTCCGCTATCGAAGCTAGAGCTCGCAGTGATGTCCGCGTCGGGAATTGCGCCCGACTCCATCCCCAGGGGTGCGATGCATTGTGCTGCAAATAAAGGAAATTGCTTCAATTATATGTTTGCCTCGAGTGAGAACAAATGAACGATATAAACCTTGCGTGTAAAGCCCACTTTAGGACGATGTGTTAACATTAAGTGCACAATACATACATACATGTGCGAGAGAACTTTGATAATCTAATAACGCGATGCTTTCTCTCTGCGAAATCTGAGACACCTTTTCTTTAGAGATCATTTTTTTATCTCTCTTCTTTTAATTATATATTATTATAATAAAAATTCTCGCTTTTTCTTTCTCTCCGTCGCGATAAATTGTAACAAAGTTGATACATGGTTTGTCTTGCATATCAGCGATATATTATGCTCTCGTTAGCCTAGATTTTTCGTCGTTTATTAAAAGTTGTTTTAAACGAGTTTTAAACAAGATTCTCGAGAGGCGTGCCGCGCTGTTATTTTCGGCAAGAACTGGAGTTAATCAGGCTTTCATTATGCGTGGGGCTACTTTTTTTCGAAGTCAACGCCGCATGCTGCGCGCGGAACGAAAACGATGAAAAAGGCAAAAGAGAGGCGCAGGCGCCTCTGCAGAGCGCCGTTTTTATCGCCCGACGCATCTCGCGATAATTACAGCGCTTAACGCTGTAGGATACCGAGAACGGATTTCCATTTGGAGAATCGAAGAAAGATAAGTGCCGGATGACTTGAAATTACATATTCGCGCTAGTTTCGCCGACGATCAAAGCGGTGAACCTCGGACAGGCCGTTGCACCTTGTGGAGCGATCAAAGCAGATCTGTTAGCGTGGCGTAAGATCGAGCCAGGATTCCCGGGAAACGAGCGAATGATATACAGCTCTTTAGCAAGAAATCGCGGCAAGACGGAACGGTGCTTCGGTAAACTCGATAAATCCGAGTAGAAAATTCAACCCCCCTGCCTCTTCGAATGAACCTAACGACAGCTGTTTCCTGAGCCATCGTTGGAATCGTCAACGATTATCGAGCTCGTTTATTCCTCCAACGATCTTAAATCCACAAACTTTTCTTCCGACCGCTTCTTTCTTCATCGTCGCGGATGTCTGGCACCGAAAAGATATATATCTGTCTGACGTAAATAAGAGGATTGTAAACATTTCCTATATTAATCTCCAAACATTGTCGAAAATGTCGAATATGAATGAGCCAAAAATTCATCACAGTCTGCAGATGTTCCTAAAATTCCCATTTGTTAAATTTTTAACAATTTTTGAGTAAATAATTTCCAACTAATAGTAAAATTATATATTTTTTTAAATTGACAGATAATACAATTATATCAAAAGTCTAACAAACAGTGTATATTGAAAGAAACAAGTTCTTGCTACTTTACATTCCTACTTATAAAATAATCGCATCTGACGTTCCCTTGACTTATGAATAAGAAATCGAATCTTTTAAATGGATATACGGTGAAAAATTCAAGAAACATAGACTTCGAAAGTTTTAACTACACTTTCAACGTCTCTCTCGAGAGACGAGGAAACAATTACGCGGGAATTTCCGGTAATCATCGTCAAACTCTCTCTCTCTAACATTGGCTAAAAATACTCGAGGAGGACCGAAACGCCTCGAGTTTCTTTAAAGGGGCAAAAAACGCGTTCGAGACAAATAAGTCTCTGGTATAATCAACGCTACCCGGCGCACGATCCGAGATTCCTAGAGATCGATCGGTCCCGCGCTTCTTCCGGTATACGTGCTCGGTGTCGGCGTGGAGCATCCAGGGCGCGAGTAACGAGAGAGGCCCTCCACGAGTAGCTGGGGTAAGCAGGCAGGTTCGATTCTCGTATTTATAGACATCCTGGAAAACGGGAGGAGAAGAGGAGCAGGAGGAAAAAGAAGAAGAAGAAGAAGAAGAAGTAAGTTATGCGACGTTTGGCCCGCCCCAGCCACTCATTCGGCGACCATAACTCTCGGGGAGTGACAGCTCCGAACGGAAGGGTGTGTGCCGCCCTCCGTCCGCGAGAAGAGGAAAATTGAATGCCTTCGCAACCCCACTTCGGCGCGTTCTACATCGCTCCCTCGTCTTCTCGCGCCCGCACGTTCTCGCGTCTCCTCTCCTTCTCTAACCGCGTCACTGTCAAACTGATAACCGCTTCTTTCCAGAGAGACGGCTTCTCTCACGAAACCCGAGACAGCCACGAAACGGTCGACGAACAAGCCGCGCTCGGAGAAAAACGCAATACGTTCGTATAAACGCGCAGGGCGACGTAGATTGTAATGGAAAAATCCGTAATAAATTCCGAGAAAAATTCTTTCGCCGCGCGTATATCCAGTACATACCGGGACTGCGCTTTTATATTTGTTGTTACGTGATAGTATCCGCGCTTCTTCTCCGCTATTATTTCGTACGTTCTCTCGCCCCTGTGTATTTCTACGAGTTGATAAACGATTTTCCGCGAATCTTGAAATACCGAAATGGTAATTGAAATGTCTCGGTACTGAATCAGACGCTTCCACGTTCAAGTTACAAGTTGAGACAGCGATGAAGGCTGCGCGCGCGATCTGTTGGAGAGAGATCTACAGATCTACGAATTGCGCAATATCGTAAATCTCCTCTTTACAAGCACGGATCTCCTTCTCTCTGCCGTCATTTGTCCTCTCCTACGAAGTATTCACTCGAGCAGCGAACCACTCCTTCGAGAAACTGACAATGAAAGTGGTTCAGAATTAACCTTTAACACGGTGTAAGTCACGTCTATCCTAGGCGAGGCTGATTTTAATAATTTAACATGTACTTGGCTACAGCTTGTAACTGTATTGGAATTGTGATATGGAAATTTTAATTCTTTTCTACAATTTCACAAAAAGAATTAGAATGATTAATAATTTGATACATCCTCATTGTGGATCTTCACGCATCGCGTCTCATATAACTTCGTTCTCATATTCCGGAGGAAGTCAAAGATATACCGTCTTTGGTGGACGAATACGGTGTGTAATTAGCTCAGCTTTTATAATAATAGCAAAGCAAATTGCACAGAAGAATCCCTCGGCAAATTAGGAAAGAAAGATGAAGGAAATATGGTGAGGGTAGATGCCAACAAAACAGGGCTTTTCTATCTCGGTGAATTTAATAATTCGCATCACCCTTCCTTTGTTAATTCCGGGATTATTATTAATGACGGCGCACCAAAGTCGCGGTTGGCTCTCGGTACGTTCGCTCACACTTCTCTCGTCGAGCGCGAATGTAAATTAATTACGCACCGGGACTCTTTTATGAAAAACATATTAAAATTCCCCATCTCATTGCAGCGCGATATTAGCGCATAAATCATGATTCGCACTTAATCCTCGGGTTAATTCAATTTTTTTTAATGTCTCGACTAATTATAATGTACGAGTTGTCACACAAATATCCTCGAATCATTCTATTGCGAAAACGGGAAATTTAAATTCTTGTGTAACTTAAAATGTTAAATTAAAAATATGACATTAAAAATTGTTCGCAAAGTGCTTAATAGATCGTTGAAGAAAAAGAATAGATACAACTTTTTTAGAGACATCATAATTATTTCTTTAGACAGACACATATATGTATATCGTTAAGTAAATTTTTATTAGGCAACAACGAAATTCTGTTGAAGTTGTTAGGTAACATGTAACTTGGAAACTATCTACTCGTTTGTGTGTGTTAGCGATAATCACCTCCTCAGTGCGGCTCATTGCGACGGTATTCAGTTTGTTCTGTTTGTTTAAGAAATTAACAGGTGGACCTGCCGCAAGGTTTCCCTTTTCGACCGCAACATCGCGCTCATTTCCCGGACATTGGCGAAATTAGAATGAATGTTTGTAAGAGCGTCGACCTCGAAAGAAGTTGGTGCGTCCCTAGACAGCGCGTTGTACCCTTTCGTACGGCCATGAGGGCCAAGATGTGGCTTTCTCGGACCTGGGGAGCCATTTTCGCCTCTTTCAGAGAAAACAAACATTCGTTCTAAGCAGAAGGTAACTTGCCTCGACGAAAATGCGCATGCCCGTCCCCCTGGCGCCGCGACGACTGGCAGAGCGGAAGTACTACTTTTATACGACCCTTTCGTCCCTCCTACTTTCCTGAGGTTCCTCTTTCTCTCTTTCTCTCGCCCTTTATATCCACCACCGTTTCCGCGCCTTCTCTCTACATTCGCAGTCGTTCCAGCCTTGGAACCCCCTTAGGCATTACCCACCGTGGACTGAATCACCGTCTCGAGTTGCATGCGTTACTTAGACCCCGAGGGTTGAAAGTGCAACCCTTTTATACAGAGTTCGTGTGCCTTCATGCCCTGGATTTATCGAAACTAACCAGTTTATTCGCTAATGCGTAACTAATGTTAATAGATATTCAGAAGAGATAGAGACACCGTATATCGAGTTGTTTCATTGCGAGAATATCTCCTTATTTAAACCTTTATTTTAAAAAATTGTAAAATTATGGAAAAATATTTTCGCGAAGAAAATAGAGAATAAAAAATAATTATATGCAAATATTTTACTTTTTACGCAAGAATGCGAGGACGTTTTAGGCGCGTCACTTGAGAAAATAAATCTGTCCTTTCTTGCGCCGTCCACGTTGCCTAATTCTTTTGTTCCAGTTGATGTCAGTATTGCGCGAAGGGTTTTAGGGCACGAACTCTTCGTGTTCAGGCACGCCGGTGTTTGCTTTCGTGGGTTGGCCTTATGAAAATACAGATCCGCGCGGCGGATTGACGTGCGCCCTTCGAACCCGAAAGTCGGGGATTATTACACTCGACGTCGACAGTCTGACAGTTGACGTCCTTTCAACGCGTCAAGCACGAGACGTCCCTCGGATTCGTTGCTCGATACATTCCGCGAATGCCGTCGGGACGTCGTCGCTCTCTCTCTCTCGGCAAACACGGAGATGCGAACGGGTTTATCGCGACGCGGCAGAGACTCGCGATAATCGCATTCGCTCGCGAATATTTCCGGAGCGACAACGCGATATATATCGCGAGATATATCTCGTCAAAAAAAAAAAAAAATAATAAAAGAGCTCGCGGAAAGTCGGAGGATTATTTCGCTCGGCGTCTTCCGCCCGACTGACGTCTCCTCTCCTTTCAATGTGTCAATCTTCCTTGATTCTCCCGATTCATTCTCGTTTCTCGCGAACGAGAAGATTGCGCCTCCGGCGATGAGATGGCGGGGGTTAAGTCGATTGCACTCGAGGCGATTTATCCGAAGTCGTTAGGGAGACGTAGAGAGATCTTTGCGTACGCAGGCGAGCGTAAACTGTTGGGTTCTGGCGCGTGATCAAGCCGAACGACGACGAGATCGCGGCCTGCGCGAGGGTAAGAAACAGATGTCGGGATACCGGCTTGGGAATGTTTACGTCGTGGGGATTTTATATCCGAGAGACATACGATGTACACGTGCGGAAAGTGTCGGCGGTGCCTTTGTCGTACGAATAATCGCGCCTTTCAAACAAGCCTCGCAGAAGCTGTCAGCCAGTATTAATGCCCGCACCGAGCATACAAAGGAGTGACAAGTTGTAATGATAACCCGGGGTATGTTTTGATAAGTGTATCTGCGAAGGGAATGCAATTGTGAGAGTATATTTGTGCACTCGCGCATAGGTGACTGTACAAATAATCTGTTAATCCGCGACCCAGGACACGTATGATCGCTTCAGTTAGGTACAGTGTTCTTCGCGAAACGAATAATCATGGCTTAATCCGACTTGTGATATATCTCATTCTGACTAAATTATGTAAAATAATATATTTATCTATTCCTTAAAAATGTATAAAAATATACTAATAATACTTTTGCACAATGTATTATATTATTCATATTTTATTATTACTACTTCTTATAGAGATTTAAATCAAGGGAAATTTCATTTTTAATTCAAGCCTAGTTTTTTAATTCATAATATTTTTACAACTGCATTTCGAGTTTTACGTTCGTCGGTTATGGGTCGGCGACAGAGCGTAGACAGGGGACAGTAACGCGTTAATTGCCGCATTGTTATGTTAATATGCTGAAGACTCCTGCAATAATTTCGTCACCATCACGCTGGAGCCTAATGGATCTGTAGATAATTGGAAAGGAGGGCTGAGGATCGAGAGAGTAATAGAGGGATGACAATGTTATAACGCGGGAGAACTCTGTCGCGTGACGGTTCTCTCCCCAAACACGTTTCTACCGTCTGTTTTCGATGCATCCTCTATCCCACACATACACAAAGGCATTATTTCTACATACATACGCTTCTCCGTTTAATTACGCATACACAAATATTATATACGCGCATGTGCATTGGTTATTAAAAATCCTAAATTATAATGCATTTGCATTCGTCATTCATTTAAAGATGTACAGATATATCGGTAACATACATCCTCTGCTTCATCATTGTACTCGCCGTTAATAATGAATCTCACGCGGAATGCGAAAGAAAAAAAAGCTCGTCCAGCACACGTGTGTCACGTACGGTAAATTTCGCTACGTCAGACACACACGTCCCTCCTTTCCCGGATGACGCATCTGTATAATTACCTCCTGTCCTATCGTTCCGACGCCAGCACACTCGTACGCGCGCGCATATACGTGCACGTTCGCGTTGACCTCGCAATTACGCAACACCGAAACGCGAGCGCGTTAATACACACGCGAAGCGGCAGTGGTTCCTCGTCTAGGCACGCGTCTACCAATCGCACCCTCGGTGCACGCGAAACCATACGCGCAAACCCTTTCGCATGCACACGTACGCAGACACGCATATATGTGTATACATATATGCAACCGGGAACCTGGAGGGATGTGCAACACGCGCAGACACCGCAATCCGACCGACGTGCAACATGTTTATGTATCGCCGGTAACATTAACATTGCAATTTATGCGCGCTTTAACTGCTCGGCGAGCCCTTCCTGCGCCCTACAACCGTCCTTCGGGCCTGCCACGGCTGACCGGCTCGCTTAACACGACCGCGAATTCACCAACGCGGCTCAATGTACAAGTTCAGTTCACCGCGGGGGGTCCTCCCTCGATCGTCTCTCCCTTCGTGGTCTACTTCCAACTTTGGTACGGATGGAGGGTGGGTGGGGGGAAGGGGCTATTTATATCTCGACGCTGTTCGCGCTTTTCACATGTCGATCTACTTAGGAAATTTCTATGGAGCTTCCGGTCACTGGTTCAAAATGCGATTCTATTGAGCACCCAAGCACGGTCGGGCGAATTCAAAGCGCGCCGTATCACGTTTCTGACTTTTGCGCGTGAATAAAAAAGTGTTTGAAAAGATGCGATAAGTTTCTTATTAATGGGCTGATATATTAATCGACAGATTGCAATTTTGTTGATGTTACGAAGCAATCGTATTTAATTAGTTGCAAACAAAATTCTTTTTTCTTATATGTAATCTTGTCGTTTTAATCGGTGTTGTTTCGCTTGTTATCTCAAAGCATTATGTTGAGCTGTTTTGATAACCAGATAGAATTTAATTAGCGAAGTTCGCGTTATATATAGTTGTTTTCATGGATTACACCGGCACGCTCAAGTACAAGTATAAGCAGGATCAAAGGTAGCCCAAGTATCGGCTTTGAGGTTGAATAGTATGCCGCATAGATTCCAAGAGTTAGAAGGTAGCGTCAACTTTCCTGATTTAGTATATGCTCGTATAATAGTCGTTGTACAGATATATTTAGCGTAAGCCGATTACTGTGCACTTACAGACTTTATAGTACTAACGGTGATGAACCTTGTCAAGGACTCTTCAAGCACAGTATTTATTTACACGGGTAAAATCTTCGTGAGGTCTACACGTTAAAAAATGCAAGTTACATAATATCAATGTATATAGCATATATACGATAACATAGTTTTGCGCTTATATACCCAGGAAGTCTCCGTTCTGCAAACTTTATGCTTATGTACGTATACTCTGTATAACTCGAATCTACTCACTCATCCAGGGAAAGGAATGGTACGCGTTGCAGTGTAACCGAATCGAGAGACCATCACGATCCATCTTTCGGTACTGCTCGAGAAATTCTTCGGGTGCGAAATACGTCCCGTATACGTAAGTTTCGAGCTCGATTTCACGAACGAGTACCTAAAAGCCTTTCCCGGGGCCGACTTTGGAACTCTTGGCGGATACTTTGCAAGTTTCTCGCCCTGTTTACCTGACACGGGGGTGGCTCGGGCTGCCGGAGTCAATGGGATGGAAACCAAGCCAAGTAGAAACCGAGCCCGAGGTTTAATGTAAGGCAAAGGGCAATGCGGTACGGAGGGAGGCCTTTCTGTTTTTATCGGGTGAAACCGCGGCTGGCAGGGGCACCCATCTAGGGTAGAATTATAGCCTTGGATGTAAACACGTACTTCTACCGCGATTCCGCCACTACGACCTCCTGATTTTGCCGAGGGAAGATTGATTCTCCGCCATTAATCGATAAATGTCACGCGTCATATATGTATATGCTTTTATCTCATTGTCCATTTAACCCGATTTTTGCAAAATTATATTATTATTTGATCGCGATCTTTTTAAACAATATCTTTGGCGCATGGAATTATTTTATATTGAAAATAAATTAATAATTCTTGAAGTAATTGATACAATTGGAAATACATTTATGCAATGTTTTAGCTAATAATTAATTGAATGATCATTGAGTTGCTTGTCAATATTTAAGTCTTTATCAATAGAGAAATGTATGCATGTGATTTAAGTTTGATTCAAAAGCGTCGAGCTGTCTCAGATTGATTTAATTAAATTGACATGTCTGCTTACATATGTCTATGGAACGTCCGCCGCAGAAGCAGAGGATCAGCAGGTAAAAGATGAGGCACGTCTGCAGGTAGTCCATGGTAGCGTCGATGGTCCGCGGGCCCGTGGTCATCGAACTCTCATAACCGCTTCTGCAAAAAAGAAAAAAAACAAAGTTCCAAAATAAATCTCACACACACATACATATATACATATTGTACAAACAGCTCGTAGTCTCGAACGTTACACAGAACAGAGTGATTAAGCGTAATTCCCGGGAAGGCGTCTTGCCAAGCATAGAGATTGGAGCGTGAGAAGGATTGGAAGGAGGACGTGGACGTAGAAAAAGAGTCTGGAAACGGCCGTTTCGGTCTCCCCCGTGCTTTTCGACGGGGTGAAATGGCGCGGTTCTCGTACCGGACAGATATATGACCGGTACAGGAGCCGCGGACAAAGAGCTACATTCACGCCAGCAGCCATTACGCGTCATTATCGAGATTAGGATCAGTTCGACGCGAGAGAAGGAGACGGAAAAAGAGAGACGACCCGCGACGAGGATGATACGGGAGAAAGAACTACGAAGAACGCCGTAGGCTCTCTCTCACTCTGCCCGGTTCTTCTTCTCTTGTGTGGACGAAGGGGCGAGAGCTCGTGTGTACCGGATAATCGGGGATACGAGAGACTGTACTTTATTCACGACGGTGCCGTCGTATCGCAGGAAAGAAAAGCGAGGGAGAACTGTACGAGGTGGCCTTACTTTTTGGCTAATTAACCAGGGGGCTTTCGTCGACTACTGCCGACCGTTTCTCGATGTTTATCTGCCAAGTTTAGGGAATCCTTTTTCTGTGACTCGTTATTTCACGACGAAAATATCCGTGGCGATAGACGCGGCGTTTTATATCGCGATCGTGGATTCGTGGAATTTATCGCGGGTACCCGGCCACAAAGCAACGAAGAACTCGTAGAATGGGCGACAAAAATTCCTTTAGGCCGATCTGATTTTCTACTGTTTTGAGATAAGTAGATTTAACGAGTATTATATTTTAAAACCCAAACACATCAGAAAAATAATTGGATAATTTGTGCATTCGTTGCGATATTTTTTTTCCTTTGGCATGAATTTTATTAAAATCGACGCTATCTTATTCAAAGAGCAACAAGTCCTCCGCAGCATCACTCTGTTTATCCAACTGTCTGAATAGAGATCTCTGTATTGTCGTCGCGTTAGATGGCCAATTCGAATTCGAGAATTTGCGAATACGATTGCAAACGGTTCCATGGACGGTCATAATCGATTAAGTGGCTGAATCGAATTATCCAACCAGCAATTAAGACGCTATTCAGCGTGAAGCGATTGCGTATGCCGGTACCAGTGTCGAGCATAGTACGATCACAATGCGCCCGATCGATTAGTCGACAAAGTAATTAAGGTCATAGAGTGCAGCCAACCTCTAACTCGCCCAGCCTAGCTCGACCGATTGTGTCCGAGACACGGCATTTGTTTCTGAGCCGATGATTAGATTAATCATGACGCACAATTAATCATTAGGCTTGAGGATAATCTCCTCGTAAATGCATGCTCGTTCTAATGCAGTTTCATATGGCTTTGCGAGATACGTTATTCCCCGCAGCGATCGTGTCACCCTGAATATAGCGTTTCAAAATCGTGCTTGTCGTCTCAGATTACGCGTTATGCGCGGCTAATATAAAATAATAAGAAAATAAAAATTATACGGAAAATAATCCTCGGTGCACTCGTGCGAACGTAATTGCACCATCGATCTGCATTTCGCGCGAGCTTTTACTCGCATAGGAGAGGAACGTTGTTGAGCTCTTTGGACCTCGCGGGCATACTTCGAGTAAAGAGACTTAATCATTTGTTCGTATAATTACGAAGAGTTGATTATGTCCACATGTCTGAATTTATATGCACCTTCGCTCGAGGCGAGCACGTTTCTCTTTCTCTCGTACCTTTATTAATATTCCTTGATTTATTTCCAGTTCCTTTTCTCCCGCCGTCCGCGTTCTCTAAATAATTGTCCTTAGTATATCCAGTTAGAGAGTTTCTTTCGCGAATAAATTTTCTTTCGACTCTATCTTTAGCCAAACATTTTTGCCGGCGCAAATATTCAACGCCGGCGCCCGACGCAAAACACGCCCAAGTAAGCCATTGCGAGCCCTCGTTGCGGAACGAAGAAATCATATGAATTTAGTGCTCCGTTTGTTCCGGCCTTCCACAATACGCACACTGCCATCTTTCATTCCCTCGAAACTACCGCCGCGTTCGGCCACTCTCGGTTCCACTGGGTTGCCGCTGCATAAGGTACCCTTATGCGCTGCTTCCAATGCTCGATTTGCATGGCATTCGTCTCTTCATTTTTGCCGAGCGCATCGTGCGTCGCGCTCCTGTCGCGTCGCTGAGCTCCGCGAGCCAGGTGCATCGGTGCTTAAGTGGAATTAACGTGAATGATGGGGCCCCTAGATAAAGCTACATCCGCCTGTACCGCTCGCGAGCGTATTTCACGAGTGAATACACATGAATTTGTTCGGTGAATCAGCGAATCAATCATGCCGCGCGCACCGATTACGTATCGGTACATGTTCAAAGCGTGAACAGCGGATTCTTCTATAAGCTTATTAATCTTGAGCGAGCTCGTAAATGCGACAATTTGCGAGATATTGATGCGCCAAGGGATTATCCTGTCCTTTTAACATTTTTTTTTTTTTTTTTTAGTAAACTTTTATTTATACGTCCGTGCAATTTGCACGCTTTAATCAATAGTTAAAAAGCTGTTCGTGTTTCGCGCCATTCGGCTAGATAATTATTTTCCTTGAAATTCAAACTTAAATTAAAAGCCAGGAGAAGTATTCCCATTTGGTGTGCGTGTGTGTGCAAGTATTCCTACAGCGCATTCTGGAGTTGGTTTGGCTCCGTTCCTAACGTGTCATTCCGAAGGGAGTGTGAATGGGAGAAGGAAGGAAAGTACCTTCGTGCACAGGTCCGCGGCTACGTGTACGAATACGCGCTTTAATCTCCACACTTACAACGTTTCCGGATCGTTAAACGCCGTTCGTCGACGAACTCTTGAGTTCGGGCGAAAAATTCGCATCCAAGCTCGACCCTCCTTCCCTCTCGTCACTCGCGAACGGCTTTAACCGCGGCGGAAAACGCGTCATTTTCTCGTCGAGAAGTTTTCGACGACACGGAGAAAAAAAGGGAACTCGGAAAACTAGGACGTAAAAATTCTGCCTACGCGTACGTAAGAATTTTTTCTTGTGAAATGTCGCGATTGAGGTGTAAGAAAAAAAAAAAAATAAAATCTTGGCGAATCGCTGTAATATACTGACAAGTTTGCGCGACAATCACTGTCATTTGTCTCGATGTTGGACTTGCAAAATGTATAAACATGAGAAAACGGGGTCTTCGCGTGGATGTAATAATTTCGAATAAACATTTATTTCGGGAGACAAAACGTGCAGTTTGCATTCACGGATTTTCGGTTCATAAAGTTGCCTATTGCAGAAATTCCGACGCCCAGGCGAGAAATCACGCTCAAAAGTCTTTCGCGAGGAAACGCACAATTCTCGGGCCGACGAGATTTACGGCGGGCGTAGGAGAAATGGGCACGGGCGCTCTTTTGAGCGCTGTTTCCATCGTTTGGGCGCATAAATTTGCGCGTGAATTCGTGGAAAATTACACACACAAACGCGCGACGGTCTCGAGTGTTCGCGCGCAGGCAAATTAAAACTCGACGATGTCGTCCTCGCGTAATTGCCGGAGCGCGCCGCGACTTATTTTTGTAGATCCCTTCCTGGGGAGACGCGATCGTCGACGCGAGAATAAGAATTGTCAGACGACGTTTACGCCGTCGTTCTAACGAGATACAAATTTTTCATCAAGACGAGAAAAGTGTAAAATGACGATGTAAAATAATTTTCAAGAATTACCAGTAATTATTTTTTTAACGCGTACTAAGAATTATTGCATCGAGATAAGATATTCATATTTTCTTCTTTCTCAGATTTGCATTTTTAAATTGTACAATTTTGTACAATAATAATATTTATTGTAGTTTTACATTAAATTGACTCCTATATTCTCTCATATTCGCGATTTTTATTTGTTCTCTATATGACTTTATCATCTTAACTTTATCTTCCACTCCTGGATTTATTAAGGATTCGAAGATTCATCTTTTACTAAACTTTAAACTCTCTTGCCGATACGTAATTTAGTACTCAAATCTTATTAATTCACAAAGTTACTGCAATAAGTCTCGGCTCTTTGACATTCCAATATTTTCCGCCCGAAGCGCAAAAGTTAACGATGATCCTCCTTTCGCTTTCCGGGTCTCATCCTCTCTTTGCGTATATATTTTCGTCTGAAGTCCGCGGCGCGGCAGCTTCTATGAAATAATTCGGTCATCCGTCGGTCTTCAAAGAGCTTTGATCGATTCGCGGACCGTTCATAAATAGACACTATCGCGGAGCTCTTCGGCGTTTCTAATGCGAGAAAAAGAAGGGACACGCAAGCGCGGCTAATTACGAAGAGTCCCTCTGGCTACCGTGTGTTGCTGGTGCTGCGGCTGCTGTTGCTGATGTTTATCTTCTGGCGCGAGCGATGGGAACCCAAGATGGCAGAGCATCTCCCATTTATTCAGCGCAAGAACCGGTACGCTTCTCCCGGTAGGACGAGAAAACAACTTGCGGCTTCTGGCCGCGCCTCGGGATATATCTGCATCTCGTTTCGCCGTCTTTCCCGCGCCTCGAATCGCAGTTCGCGTCCGTAAGAGAGTAAAGCCGGTTCCATATTAATTTCGTCCGCGATCTTGTAGCTTCGGGTGTGCACTTTGTCTTTCGATTGGTCTCCACTCGGCCTTCGGCGACCGACGCGATGGACTTTAACGACGACATCGCCACGTTATCTATTCAGTCGTGTTCGAGGTAGTCCAAAGATTGTCCAATTTATGCCAGCCATTAATACTATAATTGATGTGCGATCAAAAACACGTGTACGATATACGTCTTAATTCTATAAACGGAAAGGGAGACGGGAGAAAATTCACGGGAAATGAAACTTTTCGTCTTGACAAAGAGTCAACGTCGTGAGCGTTTAATAAAGAGCGAGTTACAAATGGATTCAAAGAGACGC